TTTGCCAGAGAGGCCACTGACACGCGATTCTTCCTCATCTACTTCTTCTATCTCGAACATGTGTAAAAGTAGCGTTTCTATATTCTCTTTTGCCTATTTTGAGGCGATCTTGAACAGTAGGCACGAGATAAGGTCGTTTGGGGTGACCAGGCATTAGGAACAGGGGATACTTTGTTGGAATTCCTAGCAGGGATCCTTCATCCATACCAAGATGTACGACATTCTCTTTGTGGGAACTGTGCACTTTACACAACCACTAAAGCAGACGTGCAACCGCACTCGCACTTTTTCGTCTTCAAATGCATTAACTTCGGAGTAAGCATCGCTGACAAAAAACTAGTATCATGCATATCGGTACCCACTGCGAAGTATACGAAACCCTACATAACCGTCGACGAAAATCACATCATGGTCATTATTCCTTATGGGCATCAGCTCAAGAAACATCAGTACGCAGTACGTAATTGCAGGTTCTATCTCCATGGTGTCTGGTGGGTTCATCTTTCCAGTCCTCGATCTCTAAGGCGGTAATGAAAGGTCTGGAAGAAGACTGGCGAATATTTATCCTCCTTTCATGCACTCTCATCTGTTATATCTTCTCTTTCAGCACATTAAACGCGAGAAGGCAGGTGATGACGAAAACATTGAAAAGTAAATTATTTTACTTTTTTCTCATACCACTTTACTGTCTAAATTTTCTGCGATGGCATTCAAGCTAAAGGCGTCTTTTGTAAATTACAGTGAAACAAAAAATATCAACGTTAAACAGATGCAAGATTTTCGTAAAACTCAGTCGTTTTAATCTGACATCCACTTCCACCCAGAAGATTGTTAAGCACACATATTTCTTGAAAAATGCGCACAGTTTTATATAATTCTATACGAGGTGTATATATTGCGGTAGAACTAGAAAAAAAGGCGGCGTTGGGTCCGTCACAGAGGGGGAAATCTTGGCCACCATCCAGCGGAGATCAATTGTCCGCTTGCTTCTGCCTAAATATCCGGTGGTCATGTTAACCGTAATCTTTCAGCATAAGTAGGACAAATTGGAGCAGGTCGCCGTAGAGACCCGATAAGAAAGTATCAAATACATATGATTGTGGAACACTATTCTAAAAGGGGGTTATTAAGTACCCATGGAAATACAGTACCGATAATGCCCTTTTTTCAAGTTTAAATGGGGTTAAACAGGGTAGCATTCTCTTGAGAAATCACTGATCTATAAATGGGATTTGTAAAGGAGGTTTGCGCACATCGGGTAGCACATATTTAAATACTTGAATTCAGCCTTCATATTTAGAGGGTTGTCAAAGGTTGTGGTTAAAAGTTCCTTAGCTATTCTAGGTTATGTAAAAATCATACAATGAAGTCTCTCCTTATTATTATCTCTGCTCGTAGGTAAATGCCCCATCAAATTATTGATTTTACATACATACTTTACAATAAGGAAATAAATAAATACTTAAAACGAGCGCTTGCTTGATGCGACCACTCTGAATACTTTTTTTTTAACTTGAAGTATGACACGTTGATTTCGGTGACTTCAGTTGTTCTAGCTGTCAGTGTTTGACCATTTTAGGGACCTCCTTGTGCCGAAAGGCTTGACGAGTCTGGCGAAACGCAATATCACAGAGTTTGCTGTCAAACTTTATCGGGCAGAGGGATTACCGCCAATGAACACTGACATCATAACCTCGATCAAGCAGGCCTTTGTAGGCGAAGGTGCGCCTATGTGTGATCCCTATGTAGAGGTCTCCTTCGGAGGACATTCCGTAAGTTCCGTCTACTTTGCGCGCCACTGTGTGCACCCTTGGAAGAGTCTAATATATCCTTTTTCGATGTAAATCCATCCCATCAGATGTAGACCTTCAGTGATAGTCTAGATTCTTTGCATTTGAAGCCAACCTACGACACATTTTGGTTTTTGGAAATCCGTTCTCCTATTGGAGTGACAAGAGAATAAATTCTTGAAAACGTTACAGCTTGAAGACATCTCCGCTAACTACAATCCACGTGTGTGTCAGACTGCACCTCTTATCCTTCCCTGTACAGTTACAGAAAATTGGTCGACCGAATGCCGATTGCTAAGTAAAAAAAATGAATAAAAATATCATGCGTTTCTCTCGAGGGCATTTTAAGCCGGACTCTGCAAGTAAGGATGTAATATTGTCGGATGATTGGTCGACCAGTGAACAATCTTAGTTCGAACTAAATACACCAACAAAACCTGCTTCCTATGTAGCCATCGCTGCCAAAGAAACGAAAGGTTGGACAAAGTCATGCAGACTTTTGGAATTTTCTGATAAGAAAAAGCATTTTGAATACATAATTAGATAGCCTTAGTTGTTTAAAATCTGAAGTGACGCTTAGGAAGTTAGCTTTGTCAGTAACCTGGTCTGATGTTAGAAATTGACCCATCTCAAAATTTCGGCATGCAGAGCTGTCTGTTAGGACGCCATCGACGAGAACATCAGACGGGAATGGATTCCTGAGGCATACTCACATGATATTGCTTGAAAATCCACTCATCCACGGAGTTTTTAGAGGTCCTACCTATGCGCAGATGTCGCGACTTTTTCAAAGGTACATTTGGGGCGCGCTGTGGTCAATGTATGCCGCTGCATAAGCCTGTTTTTATGAGGGGAAAGGACGTGTCCGACGCAGTGCATCCCAGTAATTGCTGAGCTAGATAAATTTGTCAATGAGGAGTTTCATCGTCGTTTGTACTCAAGGATGCAATATATTGCGGAGCGTATCGAACGCCACGCAAGTTCCTCGAAATACGCACTGAATAAACATAGAAGTGAACTGTCGATCCGGGAGCTCATGCGGGCGAATACCGATGATAATGACAATGGGAGTGCTCGAAAGGTGGGGATCAAGCGGCGTTAGCACTTTTGAAGGACAGTTCTCACAGTAGTGTTCGAATCTGGAGGCCGAATTATGTGAATGAGCTCGCCTTCATCCGCGATAAGAGATTGGCAACTGCGTTTTCCTATCAGTAAACACGATGATTGATAAGAAAAAAACAGGTGCCTTTTCAGCTCAGCCGCGCCAGGTAATTGCACTTCGACAAGGTTAGGGTCAACAGTTGGCACGGAACGCTAAAATAATCAGAGCCATTTCCGCTTTGTAGGGGAAGGGGAAAGACACCGGTAGACATCGCATGTCATCTACAGAGATGCAGTAGTGGTCAGAGGCCTTGACGCACAGAAAGCTCTGGGCCTGTGCGTGCATCGTACCG